GCGAAATATTTCAATATCGCTATAAAATCATTGAATTAAGTTAAAATGAGTTATATTTTGTGTCATGATACTTGAAAGATATACATATATGTATTTGCAAAACAAAAACATGAGTTTTGAGTAAAGGAAAATATTCTCGCCCATGGGTGAAATATTTCAATATCGCTATAAAATCGTTGAATTAAGTTAAAATGAGTTAAATTCTGTGTCATGATATTTGAATGAATACATTTAATGTATTTGCGGAAAAAAAACATGGGTTTTGAGTAAAGGAACATATTCTCGGCCATGGGCCAAACCTTTTTCTCGCCCATGGGCGAAATATTTCAATATCGCTATAAAATCGTTGAATTAGGTTAAAATGAATTAAATTTTGTGTCATGATACTTGAATGAATACATTTAATGTATTTGCGAAACAAAAACATGAGTTTTAAGTAAAGGAACATATTCTCGCCCATGGGCCTACCCATGGGCCAGTCTTCGCCCAAGGGCAGGCCCATGGGCGACATAGTGTAAAGATTGAGTTTTTTTACAATATTTTTTTCATTTTTTCTTCCTTGGTATGTTCCCTTGAAAACAGCATGTTTAATTTTTGAAATACCTTTGACCGAGACTGGGCAAAGACTGTAGAGTTTCTGGACTTTTGGGTTTCCAGAATTAAAATGGGACGTGGTATATCATTCTTGTTGACTAAAACTATACATTATACGGACAAGGATGGGAAAGCCAGAATAAAGCAAAGTAATGGGCTTAGATTCATAGACTCCGTACAGTTTCTGTTATCTTCCCTGGACAATTTAGCTATTGCGAACAATCCTGATGACTTTGCAATAACAAATCAATATACCGATCGGATAACACGTCATTTGTTGTTGAGAAAAGGTGTATATCCTTACGAATATATGGATGATTGGTCTAGATTCAACGAAACTAAATTACCACCCCTTGAATCATTCTATAGTAACTTAACAGAATCTAAAATAACCGATGCCGATTATGAACACGCTTTGACGGTGTGTGATAAATTAGGTTGTAAGAATTTAGGCGATTATCATGATCTGTACTTAAAAACCGATGTACTGTTACTCGCCGATATATTCGAGATATTTAGGAAGACATGTTAAAGACATTACGGCTTGGACCCGGCATGGTACTATTCAAGTCCCAGACTATTGTGGTATGCATTGTTGAAGAAGACCGGTGTAGAACTAAAACTACTCACCGATTACGATATGCACTTGTTTATTGAGAAAGGAATATTGATGGTAACGAAAAGGTATTCTAAGGCTAATAATAAATTAGTGGAAGGATATGATCCAAGTAAACCCGACATGCACATATTATATCTCGACGCCAACAATTTGTACGGATGGGCTATGAGTCAACCTTTACCCAGTGAGTGGGTCGATGTGAACGATATCGAAGTGTATGATATCCCCTCAGATTCCGATAAAGGTTACATAATAGAAGTTGACTTGGAATATCCAAATTCATTACATAAAGACCATAACAGTTATCCGCTAAAAGATTAATGGTGACTCAATATGATTGGATGTCGGAAAATATCAAAAGTCCTTGATGGACAATACTAGGTTAGCTAACGTAGAAAAACTATCGTTAGGTATGAAACTAAAGTAAATACACAGAGTTCTAAAGTTTGATCAAAGCCCTTGAATGGAGCCCTATATAAGGCTTAACACAGATTTAAGAAAGATAGCCACCAGCGATTTTGAAAAGAATCTATATAAGCTCATGAATAACTCAGTATTTGGTAAAACTATGGAGAATCTAAGGAAGCGTGTTGATGTTAAATTAGTCAGGTCTAATGAGGAAGAAAGACTCAGGAAACTTATAGCCAGTCCGGCTTTAACAGAAGCAAGATATTTGATAATGACCTAGCTGCACTACACATGCAGAAGAGTAATATAAAATTCAACAGACAGGTGTACGTTGGTATGAGTATTCTTGACTTGTCAAAAGACTTAATGTATGACTTTTATTACAACAAACTTAAGAAGCAAGACGGTGATAGATGCGAGGTGTTATATACCAACACAGATTCTTTGTTGATGGAAATACAAACCGAGGATGTGTATAAAGATATGGCAGAAAAAAAAGATATGTATGACACGAGTGATTACCCAAAAGATAATCCACTGCACAGCGTAGTAAATAAAAAGGTGTTAGGTAAGATGAAGGATGAATGTGCTTGGACCTCTATAGCGGAGTATGTCGGATTAAGACCTAAGATGTATTCGATAAAGAAGTCCGATAATGGAGAGATAAGAAAATCTAAGGGTGTTAAGAAGTATGTGGTAAAAAAGCATATCAAACACGAACAGTATAAAGAAGCATTATTCATCGGTAGAACATTCAAACACGAGATGAACTCTTTAAGAAGTTACAATCATAGGATATATGGATTAAGAATGAACAAGACATCATTATCCCCCTTAGATACAAAGAGATGGATTGATAAGGATGGTGTTACTTAGATTCTGACTGGACTAAATTTTGTCAAATAAGAAACCGTGTTATCTCCCATGTTCGCACTGCAAAGAGAAAATATGTACTCAAGATTGATAGTAAAATTAATAATGCGTACGGTGAAAAAGTATGGTGGCGGCTTGTTAAATAATAACTGTGGGGCACCAGTAATGCAAAATTTCCTCCCATTAATTACCACGATATACTATATGATGATACAAGAGATATTGCAAATGTGATGAACAATTATTTCTCTGACCAGGCATCTGTTAAATATCCTGATAAAACTCTCCCTTATATTAAGCTTAAAACAGAAAAATTGCTCTCTACTATCGTTCTTAACAACAAAGGAAGTTCAAGATGTTCTCCTATCTGTTAATGTAACTAAAGCAACAGGGCCCGGCGGTATCGGCAATAGATTATTGAAATTAAGTGCTTCAGCGATATCGTATCCACTGGCTAAATTGTTTAATGTATCCCTGAATAAGTCTACTTTTCCGGTAAGTTGGAAAGAAGCTTCCGTTGTGCCTATTAATAAGAAAGGTAATATTAATGAATGTAGTAATTATAGACCTATAGCTCTCACGTGTTGTGTGGCTAAAATATTCGAAAAATGCGTTTTCAAATATGTTTTTAATTACTTAAGAGATAATAATTTGCTTACAAATCTTCAATCAGGTTTCATGCCAGGAGATTCTACCGCTAACCAGCTGACTTACTTATATGATTTTATTGCTAGATAAAGGTAGAGCAGTCTTTTGCGACATTAGTAAGGCCTTTGATAAAGTCTGGCACAAAGGCATTATCCATAAGCTCAAATCCTATGGTATTGAAGGGAAATTATTGAGATGGTTTAAAAGCTACCTAAAACATAGATGCCAACGGGTTGTTATCAATGGGTATAGTTCAGACTTACGACCAGTTATGGCTGGAGTTCCACAAGGGTCAGTTTTAGAACCGCTACTGTTTCTAATTTTCATAAACGACATTATAGACGATATTGATAGTAATATAAGATTGTTTGCCGATGACACATCCCTACATGCCGTGGTAAATGACCCAAATACAGCTGCAGATTGTCTGAATAATGATCTAAGTAGAATATCCTCTTGGGCAGAAAACTGGCATGTCGATTTCAATCCTAATAAAACAGTATCTATACAATTTTCCCGGAAGATTCTTCCAAATGTAAAACCAGTTTTGAAAATGAGTAACACTACTGTTCAAGAAGTTCATTCTCATAAACATCTAGGACTTACTCTCCAAGAAGATTGTATGTGGAACGATCACATTGATAGCCTAGTCAAGAAAGTCAGTCCAATGATTAACTGTCTCAGGAGTTTCAAGTATCGTTTAAATAGAAAAACATTGGAAACTATGTATAAATCTTTCATATTACCGATATTTGATTATTGTTGCCACATATGGGACAACTGCACAAAAGAACAGGCGATACTACTTGAAACACTAAATCTAGATGCACTCAGAACTATTTGTGGGGCTGTTCGTGGCACAAGTCACGGTAAACTTTATAAAGAAACAAAGCTTACGTCATTAGAAGAAAGAAGGCATTTTCAAAAGTAAAATATTTTTTATAAAATGGTTAACAATCTAGTACTGGACTATCTATCATCCTTAGTTCCAAATAGAGTGTCGGATGCCGGTGATTATAATTTGAGAAACTGCTCACAGCTGCAAACCACAAATTGTAAATCAAATAATTATGCCAAATCATTTATTCCAGATACAGTTAATATTTGGAACTCACTACCTATTGAATACATCGATGCCAGAAGCTTAGGAAGTTTCAAAAGTTTTATAAAAAGCAATGATAGGAATGGTATATACTTTGATACAAATTATGGATCAAGATTCTGTCAGGTTATACACTCCCGTCTCAGGCTTGGCTGCAGTGATCTAAACGCTGACAAATTTGCCAGATTTATATCCGACAGCCCGAGATGTTGTTGTGGCTATCATACGAAAGATGCACTTCATTTCTTTCTTACATGTCCCTTAAATAGTACAGTAAGGCAAAACAGGTATTATTTCATAAGAGGCTACAATTTAAATTCAACTCTAAATGGTAATTCAAATGTAACGACAGTAACAAATCTTGAAATTTTGAAATCGGTGAACAGTTTTATTCTATCTTCTTGCCGATTTAGAGATTTTGTCTGAGATGAAACCGATACTGCGATGTTGTTGTGCTGAATGTAAATAATAATGTAACTGTAGTTGTGGCAGGATGTATATATTTGGGATTATTTTAAAAAACATAGGTATTTTAGGATTAGTGTATTTATTAAATAAATTAGTTTACTTAGTCCACTAACTCACACCTCAGTAACATAATCTAACATGTGGTGATTGATTCTTTGTGCTAAGGCTACTGCGGTCTCAGCCTAGCTTATTGTTCTCTGCCGGTCAGCTTGGCCTGGCTTTGTATTTCCCACGTCACATGACCCGGGCACCTTGGTCATGTACTTCATACCTTTACTATGTGCACCATTTCTAGTCACAACCCTCACTGGGAAAGGACAGCTCCGTTTGGGGTGAGTTAATTATATTTATTATCATTGTACTTAGTTTTCTAGTATATATAATGTATTTTAGTACACTCATATTAAGTCATTTATGTTCCATAAGAACAGTATATCATGTATATGTTATAAACATGAATTATCAGTATATTCATGTTAGTGCAATATATATTTAAATATTGTAAGATGTTACAACTGAGGTATATGCATAATGAGTGTACTAGATTTAAGCATGTATTGGTACTATTTTATCATGAAAGTGTAACATACCAAAACAGTATATTTGTTGATTTTATCAATACATATGAAATGCCTAAAAATGTTGATTTTTATACTGCTAGATGAGTTTCACATGCCATGTATACAATGTATGTGATGTTTACCATACCAGTAAGATTCATGTAGTTATATATCTTTTATCAGGTCTCATAAGATACTGCATGACCAGTTTTGATGACATCTGGTGGTTTGGCCTCCGTCCCTTAGACGAGGTGAGGGTTACTTCCCTTAGTTACACATATATTTATGTCAGCATGTCATGGCATAATTGTCTATACTATTGTAATGTTATATTGCTTAACATAGTATTATTTAATTGCTTTGTAGTGTATTCAGTGATATCATCCTCACTGAGGAGATATCCTACATAACATGCTTTACCGAACTAAATGTAAAGTAAGTGTTCACATTATATCTTATTGATTGGCATATCAAACACATGTAATGGATGTATAATGGCAGTATTCTTTTAATGATCTATTGGTTATGATGTTTGCCTACATTTTGTAAATATTGTGTTTTAGGGTTTCTTCATCATCATCATAACCACTGATTGTGGACCATCATTGGAATAAATCCGGTTGTAAAAACAGCATGCTTTTGTGTCTCTCCATTACCCTGCATAAGCCTCTGCGACAAATGGGATCCCTGCAAGATAATCCAGTAATTAAACACTTATAGAACAATACTTACCTTTAATGCCAATTATACAATGTATGCTATTTCTCATGTCACTATCAATACATTGCTATTTGTATATGTATCATGTTTGGGAGAGGCATTCAGATAAGCCAAATTTGCTTGTTTGCCAATCCCTCCACTTTATGGAAATAAATATGTTTATATCAGGATGGTGTAACTACCTATGCTTATGGTTATGGTGGTAATACTGTATCGTTGGGAACTATGAGCAACTCTTCTCGTACAAATGCCCTGCCCGGTCCATCTTTAAGATAATAAAGAATAGGCTTTCCTTCTTTCATAACCAACCGACTAATATTATATGTCTTAAGGGACCAAATTGGATCGGTTGCGCGACGTAGGCCTCCTTCGAGTTCACCGGGCTGGTATAAATATCTTACGCTTACTCTATCCGGATGATTTTGTTCTTTGCCTCTCCTCGGTGCTGAAGATTCGGAAGTCACAGATTTCATTTTAATCGCATCGGATGGTTTCTTCCCGATTAACCTCGTTACTTCATTATTCAGCGCTGATACAACAGCTGATAATCGTGTCACCCATTCAGTCTCCCAATCGTTCCGATTTCATTTCGATCCCATACTGATAGCCAAACAAATGTTACACTAGTGTCCGGTTAAATTTTTCAACGATAGCTTGACTACGGTGGGCCTCTTTTTCACCCCGCCTGATTTCGACATAGTACTTTCTCAACAGTTTAGTTACCGATCCCATGCATTAGCTACTTCTGTTGAATCTTTCGAGGTTAATCGCTCAGCCTCTTTGTATCGACTAGCCACATCCACTACGGTTAAAGCGTATTTATACGTTTTGCGTTTTACCTTATCATGGGGAAGAAACAAGAGGTCAGCCTGATGAACTTCATTCGTTGTAAAAACATCAAACTTCTTCCTCGGGATATAATGCGGTGCTATATTTGCCACATCGGTTGTTTCTTTAACCAATCCTTGGCCACATCTTTAGATACCTTAGCTGCGGTGGCTAATTTTTGTATTGCTCCTATACCTTCCAAATATCCTCGTGGGCTATAGTAAATTTTATTCATTGTTAATTAATATTGATGTTTCTTTTAATACGACTCATGACGATCGTTGAATCGCATCAGCATTTTGACATAAAAAATTCCATCTGTAGTAGCGGTATAGGTATATAAATCTGGCTCCAGTGGAAGTGAGCCAGAACCCCTATTACCTATACTACTGCAACATATGGTGTACAAACTGCAGGAAAGAGGGTAATTTATCCTTGGCCCCGAAATGTTCAAAACGCTTGCTCATCAGCAAACGCATAAATAAAATACCTACTCAGCAATCTGAATATATTCAACCATATTCAATTCATATCCAACAGAATGGAAAAGAGCGCATGTTATGCCATTGTATAAGAAAGGAGATCATTCAGTTGTGACAAATTACAGACCAATATCACTCATTAGTTGTATTGGTAAAGTGTTTGAGAGAGTTGTATTTAAGCATCTTTATAACTACTTTCATGACAATAATTGTTATATAAATACCAGTCTGGCTTTCAAAAAGGCCATTCCACTGTCCATCAATTAATTGAATTGTATAATCAAATTTGAATATCTTTAGATAATAGAGAAAAATATTGCATGTTTTTATCATGGTATAACATTTATACTAAGTTATCTTATAATAATTAGATCTACATCAAGTGCTTTTATGAGTTATCATGGTGTAATATTTATACATCATTTCATATAATTATAGTTTAGCAAGTAATAATTATCATCAGGTAAAATGCATATATAAAATATCAGTAGTTTCAGTTATAGCTTTTTAGATAGTTGCTAGACTAAGGTAATGGGAGCACATCTTCTAGACATACTATTCAATAAAACAAGAGTTACGTCTACATAGTTAATTGATTTGAAGCTTTTAGATAAATGCTAGCCTAAGGTGTCAAGATCCCATCTCCCAGACAAAGGATATGTCTACATAGTCTTATAGATTACCTGGAACTATTTTATTTAAGTATATCTGTCATCACCTACCGGGGTATATTAGAATAACATTACTTCAATTAAGACTCAGGACTAGCCCCCACACAAGCTCATCTATAGTGACACCATAATCTCTTTCAAAGCATCCAGTAAATATGTCAACAAGATTAGTGCCAGTCCAACAGGATTAACAGGATTTAGTATTCCCCTCTGTCTAGCCATCCATTTAGCAAAGGGCACAACCAATCATGTATCAACCAATCCTATTCCTTTTTATTGTTCAAATTTTTGTTAAATACATACAGATACCTCTTGATAGAGAGAGAAGGGGTTGACTCTCTTACCAAGTAGACCTCTCTCCCACAGCCCAGAGTGTGTACTGACTCTCTGTGGCACCCTCAGTTATTATCTAAGTACATTGTAAATTGTTAATTGCTCTTGTAAATAAAATTGTGATTAGTCTCCTGTGACTCTGGCTCTGTGCTGACTTATTCCCCAAGAAAACCAGCACGTCATTTGGAAGGTATTGTTCACCCAGAACAGTTCCATGATAATTTGGCGGAGAATCATCGTTTTCGGAACCACGGAGCCCAGGAACTAACTACGACCAGCTACAAGAACCCATTGGAGGACATGTCCAACCATGATCATCTGATGGAATAACAAGCAAGCTGCATCAACCTCTGACCTCAACACTGGATTAAAGACAACCAACTCCTCCAAATACACCAACAAAGGAAGAAAAAGTCTTCAAATATTGTAAGTACTACATTGTTGATTACTTGTCTTTCTTTAATTTAGTACGGTACATACTAATAGGTGTCATGGCAAATATGGAGTCTGGTATGGAAAGTAACTTTGAAAGTGATATTCCAACAGTGTCTTTAGTTACGCCCCTTGCCAAAACTGTAATTCAGGCAAAATTTGGTACAAAAACAACAAATTGTTTAGAAGATACAGGGGCATCCATTTCTTGTATTTCGTCTGCTTTTCTGAGCACAGCTTTTGAAAACCTTACTCTTGGAAACTCACCCTTTTCAAAGGCTAAAGGTGTTGGCGGCGAATTGCATAAAGTGTTAGGTTCAGTTGTGTTAGATTTTGCCATTGAGGATCAGGAATTTTCTCAAAGATTCTATGTTCTGCCTACACTACCAGAAGCAGTGATACTAGGTGAAAACTTCCTTGATGACAATGATGCAGTCTTAGATTATAGCTGTCATTCCTTGATACTTAACAACAGCACCTCAGATAGGCAATATATCAATTAAATAGCCAATTCAGTGCAAGAGATTAGTGGATTAGCAAAAACAATAGATCAGATTTACATCCCCCCTCAGAGTGAAATTCATTTCAAGGTTAGACTATCAGAGGTCAAAGAGGATTCCCTCATCCTGATTGAACCCATTGCTTCCCTCACTGCTCATTCTGAAGTAGCAGGTGGTAGAAGTGAAAAGCAAAACTGCTACATTTAGGCTTATGAATCCCTCCCAAGAAGAAAAGGTTCTTGACAAGGGTACAGTTGTAGGCAAATTTAGTTACATTGACAAAGACTCTGTTTTTGAAATCGGCTCTGACCAACCATTCATCAGTACCGTTAACACCAACAATGAGAAGAGAGACAATGACACCAGGGATAATGTTAAAATTGCACAAGAATTAGGATTTGATTTGACCAATACACAACTGACTCCAGACCAACGACACAGACTACTTAGATTTTTGGGACAAAATAGAGACATGTTTTCAACGAGTCTTGCAGATTTAGGAAAGACTGACATGCACCAACACATCATTGACACTGGCGACCACCCACCCGTTAAGAGTAGACCATATCGCCAATCTCTTCATCTCTAAAAAGTCACCGAAGAACTTATAGATGATTTTCTGAAGTATGATTTGATCGAGGAGTCTACTTCTATGTATTCAGCTCCCATTATCCTAGTCAAGAAACGTGATGGCTCATATAGATTTGTTTGTGACTACAGAAAGTTCTGTCACTTTACCAATGTCATGGCCTCTTCCTGTTTTTGATGATGTTGTTGATCACATCGCCAATGCACAAGCTAAGATCTTCTTAACTTTAGACCTTGCTAATGGCTTCTTCCAAGTGCCATTACATGAAGATTCAAAGCATAAAACTGCTTTTGTCACCCATCAAGGCCTTTATCAGTTCAAACGTTTGCCACAAGGTTTGACAAATTCACCACTTTGTTTTCAACAGCTCATGAGCAAAGTGCTAAGAACATTGCTTTTTAAGGTTGCACTGATTTACATTGATAACTTGATAATTTACAGCAAAAACTTTGAAGAGCATCTCCAACATTTGGAGCAAGTATTTTACTATCTGAAACAGGCAAAATTAACACTAAAGCCATCCAAATGCAATTTTGCAACAGACAAAGTTTCTTTTCTGGGTCATGTTTTATCATGTGGAGGTGTTCAAGTTGATGACAAAAAGATTAAAGCAATTAGAACCTTTCCAGTGCCCAAATGACAAAAGCAGATTTGTTCCTTCTTAGGCCTCACAAACTTCTACAGGAAGTATGTGAAAAATTACGCTCACATAGCACTTCCACTGAATGCTTTGCTTTGAGGCAGGAGGAGGAAAGAAACCAAAGTTCCAATGGTCACTTGAGTGTGATCAGGCATTCAACACACTCAAACATGCTATGAGTAATACACCTGTTCTGGCTTATCCAAATTTTGACAAAGAATTTCTTCCCGCAACTCTCTTTTCTTTGTTTCCATGTAAAACCCCTAATGGACACAGCCAACTATCTTACAACCCCAATCCAGGATGTGGAACTACATCGCCAATAAAACCACCAGTACAGAGTGCCAAGACAAGCCAGCTCCACATCCAGATTCCCTGATGACAGCATTTTTTTATTATGTTTCCTTATATCAAAGAGACTCTATAATAATTGTTATTTACTATACTACCAGTTTAACTTAATACATTGTCCATCTAAGCCATAATTATTTTAATTTTTACACGTTTGGGGTCCAAACTTTTTCAGACGGAGGGGAAGTTATCATGGTATAACATTTATACTAAGTTATCTTATAATAATTAGATCTACATCAAGT